GCCATGCGAAAGCTCGGACGAGTTGTAGCTAATGAGTCGTAGCTTGTGACGTCATCGCCTGCCGACGCTACTCCTTTCGGAGCATGCGCATGGCCCCTATGTGCGCAGTTATCTGATGCTCAGCTGCTGGGGTGACTTGACTTGCGTGCTGACATAGAGGGCTCTGCATGCCCGCTGTGGCATGTGTGCAAAAGGATCACAACCACTGCACTAACCCTACCCTGCTGCACACCCCTAACCCTAATATAGGGGTAAAATACCATTGAAAGGGGCGATTTTGAAAAAGGCTTCCTTGAGTAGCTTTTTCTGCACAGCTCATCATTTCTATGCATTCTAAACACATTCCAACCATCATAATCATACCAGGACACCTCGTTTTTCTGACCCTAACCCTACCCTGGTGCATACCCCTAACCCTAATATAGGGTGAACGTTCCATTGAAAATAATGCGATTTTGAAAAGCCTTCCTTGAGTAGCTTTTTCTGCACAGCTCATCATTTCTGCCCATTATAAACACATTCCAACCATCAAAATCATGCCAGGACACCTCATTTTTCTAACCCTAACCCTAACCTGGTGCACACCCCTAACCCTAATATAGGGGTCAAGTTCCATGGAAAATGGGCGATTTTCAAAAAGCCCTCCTTGAGTAGCTTTTTCTGCGCAGCTCATCATTTCTGCCCATTCTCAACACATTCCTACCATCAAAACCATGCCGGGACACCTTGTTTTTCTAACCCTAACCCTACCCTGGTGCACAACCCTAACCCTAATATAGGGAGAAAGTTCCATTGAAAATAATGCGATTTTGAAAAAGCCTTCCTTGAGTAGCTGTTTCTGCACAGCACAGCTGCTGGGGCGATGCCGGGGCGATTTGGCCCACATGCCGACAGAGAGGGCTCTGCATGCTGGCTGTGGCACGTGTGCCATAGGTTCGCCAGCACCGCTAGGGTTTGGCTGCAGAGCACTTACTTGCATGCAAAAGTTCCCCGCCTAGATTCCTCGCATCTTCAAGGATGCTTCCAGACAGTGGGGTCCTGGTGTTACCTGTTCTATTTTATTCTTCCTGGATATATTTTTCATTCCACAGGAAGGAATGCAGCTGTGGGAAAGCACCAGAAGTTTAAAAGTGGCAGGTGATGCCCTCTGGACCCCCCCATAAAATTCCATTAATGAGGCAGCGCAAAGGTCTAATAAAGGCCTCACTTTAAGCAGCTTCAGTTGAGCTGGCAAAGTTTCCTGCCTGAAACTCTGCAAAGCTGCTGTTTGGCCAGGCCGTACTGAGCCCCAGGAGAGAAGGCCTCCTCTTGCAGTGGTACCAAAACTGGTTTCTGGTCTAATCCCTCTCTGTGGGAAGTGACTTCTCGCCATTCTGGCCCAGTCTGCTGTGAAGCAACAGGGTTTGTCGAAGTGCTGTCCCTCGTTTGGAGCGCATTTCCCACAGGGCCAATTTTCCTCCTCTCCTGAGATTAGCCAGGCAGAGATTCTGCCCCAGGGGTCAGAAAAAGCCAAGATCCTTCACACCCTGACGTCCACTGGCTCTAAGGTGGTGGTGGGGGCAACCTCAGGCTTCCTGGAGTCCCAATCCAAGGCTCCCCAGATGGCCACATCCCCTTCCTGTCCCAACTCCCTTGCGCCCAGTCTCCAGCTGGTGGTTTCCCAACTTTTGTAAAGTCTTTGGCCAACTCTGAACGATTGAAACGCCTCTCTTGTGGCATTGTTATCAGTTGTATGAGCCTTAAGCTAAAGCAGGCTGGAATTTTCCCTTGCCCCTTTGGCCTCAGCTCCTTCCAAGTGATTCTCTGACACTGAATTCAACCCTTGGGCTGAAAGATCCGGAGCCCCTGCTCAAAGGGACCAGCTTGTCTTCGGGAGACCAGGGGACAGGAAATTACTGGCAATACAAAAGTTTTGCCAAGCAGGGTAGTGAAAGGAGCAAGGGAAAGTCAGCCAGATTGTCCCAAGGCTATCAACTTCCTTGGACTGGCAGAGAATACTGAGGGGTTGGGACAGCCACAGAAATGTGCAAACATTTAAATGGCCAACTCAGAGTGTACACTGGAATTCAGCATCCTAGTCAAGGACACCCTCCTCTACTGAGGGAGAAAAGACAATGTTTGTGACATTTCCTCTTCCATGAATGGAGGATGCAATCAACTTACAGGCTAATACAGCACTTCAGTTCAGATGGCTCCTAGTATGAGATCCTTCAGAAACTGAGAAAATTTTTCCTTCTGTCCTCTGTCATTGCAATGTTGAGAGACCACTGCACTGCAAACTTCTGTTGTGTTCTGTTGTGGTGGTAATTAACACTGATTGGTATTGAATTTGCATAGCTGAGCTTAGCTTGAAAAGTAACCCTGTCAGCAATTTCTTCCCCTCTACTAATGTAAAAGTACTGTCATGATAAATCCAGAACTCCTTCTTTTCTTAAGACCCCTCCCCACCCTAGAAGGTGTTTTGGGCTTAAGCATATTAAGATGGCCCTAGCCTAGCTGCTGAGACTTTTAAAGATATGCCTACAGGGAGTGCAGCATTAGTTTTAAAAAAGGAAAAAGGGGAAAAAACAGAGAGCACCATAAAGTGAGATGTTTAATTTTCTTCGAAATTAATCCATACAAACAAGTGATAGTAAAATCCATTCTCAGTGTGCCTTTTTTAAAAAGAAATAATTTGACTAGACCTCTCCTGAGATAAAAATTCTAGTCCGATAGGTAACAAAGAGGAACAAGAGCTACCTCAACTCAAATTGAGGGTTGTGACTGAATGTGGGACTGGTTGGCAGTTGTTTTTTCCCCTCCTTTGGGATGAGGATTTGATAGAAGCAAAAAAAAAAAAAAACCACACACAAAACCAACTCCTTCACTGTTGCAGAAACTTCACCAATGGCTATCAGTTTCCCAGTGGCTGGAATTGGAAAAAACCCTCAAAGAAAGCTAGGAAGGTTTTATGGTAGTGCGTGTCCAAGAAAAAGTATCTGTTGCCCGGGTCCAGGGGTAGAGGATGGGAGGGAGCAGAACCAGTGTGTGAATTCGTGTGCACCTGTCCTGGCCCCCTAGCCTTTTATGATGGCCCCCTCACCTATTAAAAAACCACAACTACCCACAGAGAAGGGTTTGGCTGAAATTAGAAGTCAGGGTATGACTTGGGTCCCCCTATTTTTCTGCTGTGATTTCAACCCCAAGCAGGGGCAGCTTCGGAAATCTTTATTTCATTCCTGAGGTGAGTGCTGGTAGACTATGGGGGGCTGGAGCTATGTTTAGGTCGGGGTGGTGAACCTTTCAGCTGGAGGGCCAAATTCATTTTTGGAGACGCTCTCAGGGACATGTTCCAGCGATGTGCACAGCCAATGGCAAAGAGGGCCAAAACACCAACAATACCAGCTTGCTTGAGCTTAAAAAGCGTATTGCCTTGGGAGAGGCATTTCAATAGCTCAGAGTATGAGTGCAGAATTTACTGGAGCCTGAGGGCTGGATGCGGTTTCTGAAAAACATTTAGGGGCTGCATTTAGAGGAAGGCCAAAAAATGCCAGGATATTCTAGCGTAATTCTAAAAGCCTGAGGCATTTCAACCTTTGAGTGGGGGAAATATGATGCAAAGGTAGGAAAACATCGAATGACTGAGTAGGGACAGAGGAGAAACGGGGTGAGGCCTGGAGCCAACTAGTCGCCTGCGTTAGATTTGCAGCCCCCCCCCCCCTGCCAGTTCTGCGCCACTGCTTTATTTTCCGGAGAGGGGTGAAGGCAATAATGCCCAGAGTTGCCACTTGTTGCATAGCTGTGCTTTTGAATGGCAAGCAATTTAAGGGGATGGCGATTGCTCCCAGGAAATCCTTACTCCGGGCTGGTGAAACATCTCACCGTTTTCTGAGCCTTCCAAACTCACAAGAACTGCAAGATGCTTGCCCCATTCTCTCAGCTCACAACAGTGGAGACATGAGCCACTTGTGATGAACTCTCGGAGGGTCAATATCAAAATGGTAGGCGCACGTGCGTGCACACGTTCAGCTTGTTCAGAGCTGAAGGAAGACCTTGGAGAGCCTCCAAAGTTGTGTGAAGTCACATGCAAGATCTCCTCCTCACTCCTTATCAGGACGGAGCAAGGTTAGTGGCGAGCATAAATCCTGGCTTGCGATCAGCATCAAGCCAGATCTGTCAACCTCTGGTGACCACCACCCATTCCTCAAATACCTGTGAAAGGGAGGCTCTGAAGGGAGCAAGGCCCACACCCAGCACACAGACTTGTGTCTTGCCATCTCCATCACAGCAGAGTGGAAAAGTGTGCTCAGCGGCTTAGCTTAATGCTCCTGCTTCCACAACGTGTACCATTTCCTCCCGTGCCCCAGTGGGTTGCCACTGGATCTCCAGAGAAGCCTCACTGCCAGAGAGGGATGATCTCAGTCACCAGCAATGCTCTTTCCAGGAAAGGAATCCCACCACCCCTGGCTAACACACTGCCAGATGCTGGAGACTGAGGTAATAACAGCGTTCCCCTCAGCATATAATACTGGAAATGTGTGTCAGGTGGTTGAAAGAAGACCCAAGGTCTGAGCGTTTTTCCAGAAGTCATTTGTGAATGCTGGGGCTTTGCTACAGTTGTGCTTTCTCAGCCACATCAGTCCCAAGGCATAAAGGGCCGTCATGCCACCCTTGGTAATGTTACACCAACATTGGTGATGCTTCGACCAACGAAACATTGCCTCCTCCCCAATTTCTCTATAATCTGGCCAGTCCCAGATGCCAATGAGCCTGCAACTCAGTGATCAAATTTTTTCATGTCTGTCATCAGGATCTGTGGTCTTCTCTGTTTTGGCTTAGAATTCCCATCAGCCCTACCTAGCATAGCCAATGGTGAGGGATGATGGGATTTGCAGGAGGGCTCACCCCTGCTTAATAGCCCTGAGAAAATGGTCAGACTACAAGCTCCATGAGGCTGCCTGTCTATGGTGAAAGCCAACACCCCTCCCCTCGGTGCCATTAAGACAGAACGGTAGCTTGGCCGGGATGTGCATGACTGTTTATTGAAAGTAGAATTAAATTGTAACTTGGCGTTGAGCTAATATAAATTCAGCATCAAGAGAAATTAACTCCGGGACCTCTATGGACTGTGCAAATCAAAATCTATTTGCATATACTGAGTGGGTTACATAAATTTTTCAGCTGCACGTGTACTTGGAAAGGGCCAAAGGGCTGTGCTTTGGATCGTGCCCACCTCCTCTCTAGGTACATTGCCAGGCACCCACGTCCATTTAGCAAACAACACTTGCTTTGTAGCCTCGCTTCCTTTCAAAAATGAAAGGTAAGGATGCCGAATTCTGCACTCCAGACTCACTTCCTTGCTTGCAGATTCACATAAAGCAGCCTTCCCCACGCTGATGCTCTCCAAAGGCGCTGGACTACAGCTCCCATAATTCCCAGGCAGCATGGCCATTGGAGGTTGTGAAAACTGATGCAGAGTATTGCAAGACCAACAAAAGGCAAACCATGCTCTGTAAAACGGACAGGCTGAAAGCAGATCTCCCAGTATTTTGGACTTCAGCTCTCAGCATCCCTGATCACTGGCCATGCTGGCAGCTGCTTCTCGGATTCGAAGTCCAAATACCGAACTGCAGAAGTCCTGCTTTATAAAATGCAGTATTAGAGCACTGAAAAACTGGGCAGTCTGAAATTTCCAGAAAATACCTGCTTTACAGTGAAAGCTTTGCACAGTGGTGCTTCAGAATGGTGCCCTTCAGGTGGGTAGGACAACAACTCCCATCATCCCAAGCCAGTCTAGTCAGTAGTGATGGAATTGATATCCCAACGTATCTGGAAGGCACCAGATAAGCTTGAGGAAGGCTGGTTTAATGCTAAAAGCCAGCAGGGTAAAGGGACACAAACAGCTGTCTTTGAGTTGCAGTGACAGAATGGGGAGTTTAGGACAGGGTGCCGAAAGAGGAAGGCGGCCCGCCCATGATTAAAAATGATAACCTTGCCCCAGATATGGCCCTGCACTCTGCAAACCTGTCCGTAGACTACTATGGGCATTAGGATGACCTTGATGGGTTAGGAGCATGAATTGCCATTGCGGTTTTGCGTGCAGAGTGGGGTATTTGCAGTCCCCAGGTGGATAAAACTCCTCAAATATTCTTAGGTGGAGATCTTTGGGAGTTTCCCCCTTCTTCCTCTAAAAAGTTGGGCCCCTTCATAGGCAACACAGCTTTGCTGAACAGCCAGCTGCAGGGGACTCTGCCTGCTGGAGCATTTCTGCCAAAGGAACTCTTTAATTACTTCTCCCCCAGCAAAGAGGCCCTGGCGACTCGTTCCCCATACACTTCAGTGGATCATCCCCCTGCCCCCTCCTCCCCTGGGCTGGAGGTGCATCAGGAATCAACTCTTGAGAAGTCCTCTGTTGCATTCGAGAGTCCTTTGCTAGTGTCTTGGATTTTCAGGGAAAACAGGGCTGAGGTGTGCAAACGGCAGAGGGGAAGGTCCCTGAAATCAGTGGCATTGGAAGCCACCAATGGAAAGTCTGTGGGGCTGGATCAGACCCCTCCAAGGCTGGCCACCCATCCCTAGCATGGATGTGTAGTGCGAATTCCTCTTGTCTGAAAATCAGGCGGCCTCAAATATCCAGATTTTTGGTCTGGCTGCCCACTGTCCCCTACCCCACTTTGTGTATTTCCCTATCAGTGCAACCAGATGCTAATAACTTTCCCATTTATCAATGTCATCATTTCTGCCCTCACACACTGAAAACTGTACCAAGGTAGTTTCCGTAAAGGGCATCTCCCATTGTTCTGAAAACCATCCCTACCCCTTCCGCACCAATACAGACTGGTAATCTTTGCTAAAAAATACATTGCTTTTGTTTCACTACAAAGAAATGATCTCAGGCTGGGGAATACAGGCTGTGTTATGTAACAATAAACCTGACTAGTTGTCTAGTAGATCAAGCTCCTTTTCTATTAAGAGAGAGAGAGAGAGAAGAGAGGGAGAGGAAGAGAGAGAAAGATCCATCTGGTGCCACCACAATATTATTGGTTCAGTGTTGTTCAAGAAGTCAACTCAAGCAAGACTTGACATCGTCTCACTATGCAGTCTGGTTGTGCTGTGGATCTCCAGGTGGAACATAAAATGAGGCCTGGAACTGTCCATCCTGCTTTGTATGTAAGATTTATTCTAACTAAACCATCCTCTGTAGATGCTGAGCTGAAAGAACATCAGTAATTGGCCCATGATGCCGCTGCTGAGCTTGACGGTGACTTCAGGTCCACACGTTTGCCCCTGGCGAACTCTCAGCACCAGGAAACATCGATCTCCTTCCACGGGGATGACCTCAGCTAAGTCGTGTGGGTTCTGCGATGTCGAACCAGGTGTGAGTTTTGGCCAAATTTCTTCCCACACTCAGGGCACTTGTACGGTCTCTCTCCTGTGTGGGTGATCTGGTGCCGTATGAGATCGGAACTCCATCGGAACTTCTTCCCGCACTGGCTGCATCCGTAAGGGCGATCTCTCGCATGGGACATGCGATGCCTGGTCAGCTCAGAGCTCTGGTAAAAGCTCCGGCTGCACTGCGCACACCGAAACGGTCGCTCCGAGGCGTGGGTCCTTTGATGCCGTGTCAGCTGGGAGGTATGACCGAAACGCTTGCCGCACTGAGGGCACTGGTGCGGCTTTTCCCCTGTGTGGATCCTCTGGTGGGTGAGCAGGTGCGAGTTACGGCTAAAGGTTTTCCCACATTCGGAGCACCGGTGGAGGGGCTTCCCTGCTGGCGGTGGGACTCGGATGGGACTGAGGCGTGTGGCCGGATTCTCCCCCAGATCACCGCATCTCTCCTCATGCTGCTGACCAGCTCGCTCCCCACAATTCTCAGCCAGCCCATTCTCCTGGGAATTCCCAGAATTAATTCCCACTTCCATAGGACCTCCCTGCAAGGGGTTCTCCTCTTGGGTCCCGTTGGACATCAGGGTACCTGGTGAGAAGAGAGAAAGAGAAGCACTGTGTAGGGTTTATCAGTACAGTCCTCTGGTGTCTGTGCAGGCCAGGGCGACACCCGGTAGCTGTCAACGTGGAGACGGAGAAATCTGCAGCAATGCTCTCTCTACCAGGGATGGAGCCTATTTTCTGGCTCCGGTCCTTGGTGAATTCATATTGTCGCATTTCAGGGATATCAAGCCAAAAAGTTGTGTGCAAATTGCTAAGACTCCCCTTCTTTGGGGTCCTGTGCTGCCCGTCAGGCCTTTAGAAAGTGGATCCGAAGGCCAAGCTAAACCAGATACTGAGCGAGTGACGACCAGCTGTGTGAATGGCTTTTAAGCTGAAGTAAACTGAAGGTGCGTGGGAAGCATCCTGATCGCTACTCCCCTTGCACCTGCTTTGTTCATTGGAAAAAAGCTCCAATGTCCTTTACTGCAATCCATTTTATTGAAATAAAATAAATAATTCTGCTATAATTCCCCCGTCCCTCCATGCATTCACCCATTTTCTCCTTATTTCCAAGGAGATAATGAGAACGATGCGCAAAGTGCTTAGCCAATCGGAACAAAGGAGTGATGATGCGCGTTGCCAGAGAGAGCAGTGGGGAGCGGCGATCAAGCAGAAGCTTAGAGCAGCCCCTTCTGTTGCTGCTTTCCATGGGACTCTGATATTTTCTCTCTACTGATGGTCAAATGGAACTCCCAAGTCCAGAAGTAACGAAAAGCCATAGTGAAATATTGAACACTTAGAACAAGCTGTCGAACATAATGTGCTGGAACACCAAAACTGGGTTCCAACAACACAACAGTCCAACCAGGGTAAAAATTCACCATGGCTTCTTATGACATGCATATTCAGCCACAGTTTAATTTTAAGAAAAGGTACTCAAGTTTGTTTGTTTTCTTCTTCCTACCTCATCCCCATTTATTTATTTAAAACTTTTCTATACCATCCATACTTCGATGTCTCAGGACGGTGTACAACAAATTAATCCCAAAAATAAAGCTTTTGTGCTGCCTTTTAGACTACACTGGCAGTCAGGAACTGTGCTGTTTTGATTGATCTTAAGTAAGTCTCACATCTTTTTTGGCTCAAGAGTGGGATTAAAATGCTTTAAATAAATATGCACATAAAAACAAATATAACAGGTTTAGTTCCATCACCGCCTCCAGCTTCAACAAACTGTAATCCCTTGTGAAAATGGAATGGAGAAGAATTTTGGGGAGGTAGGAAGCAAAATCGAAGGACTTTTTATGTTTGCTTATAATTAGATAAGATTGTCCTAGTGCAGGTTTTCATATTATCTTTTTCACACTTAAAATATAGAAGCGGTCTTCTTCCCCCACATGAACAGGGTTGTGACTTGGTTCACACACCGGTGTGGTAATTCCTGGCTTTTTAACCTAGAACTCTCCAGGGATGAGCAGAGCATGCAAGCCTTTCCCAATTTCAGTGAAAAATCCAGGAAATGGATCTTTCCAGGAAACCCATGGATTGTTTTGTGACGATCAGAGCTTAAACCATAAAGAGTTAACACAACATCTGCCCATGATTTGCTGCTGAGTTAACTTTGATCTATTTAACCTGGAAATAACCCAGAGTTTCAGTGTTTGGATGTCACAAAGCAACACAGGAATGGGCTGTTCCCAGGTTAAATGACACTGGAATTGGCTCTTGTGCAGCTACATAGTTCACTAGCTACAGACAATTCCTGGGCCAAACACCTGGATGTGCAAACAGTTCACAGCCATCATCTAGTGTTCCCAGAGGCATTGTGACTAGAGTTTCAAAACATGTGGCAGCTGATCGCAGGGCAATAGCCCTGCATGACTTGACCTTTTTAACACTGCAAAAAAGGGAAAGGAAAGAAAAAAGAGTGAAAAGAGGGGCAAAGCTGTATCTCCTCATCTGATTGCAAATAAAACAAACTTTTTCCCCAGTCACTGGAAAGGGATTTCCAGATATACCATCTCCTTACAATTCAGCCTAACTTGAAGGAAGACCAATGTTGTGGATGAATGGCTCACAAAATCTGCCCCAGGAAATGATCACTGATTTCTTCCACTAATTCCCCAGGACAGGAAAATATTCCCAAAACTTCTACTGCCCTAAAGCCTCACAAAATGAATTTATTTATCTGAAGTATTTGATGCAACTCCTCAGCCCCAAAGGCTCCCAAGGATGGTTTCCATATAATCAGTAAAACAAAATATCTCCAGCCTACACTCATGATCTGAAAAGAAAAGACATGTGAGGAAAAAGGAATGGGGAGGGGGAGGAAAAAAGAAGTCTTTTTATTTGAATCAGATCAGCCGCTCTTCTTCTTACCTGGTTCTTGAAGGCCTCGCGGTTCCTGTTTGGGGATGCACGGCATCTTGAGAGCAGGGCCTGGGGCAGGCTGGTTTAGTGTCCCTTCTGCCAAGGATATGCAGTCAGGATGGGGCAGGAGGGGGGCAGAAGGCTCCCATGGCGCTCCAGGCAAGAGCATCTGCTGGGGGCTTACCTGCTCAACTTTGACCCGCACTGTAACCTGACAATGTGGGACAACAGGGTGTTACAAGACAGGTAGGAGTCTCAGAGAAGCACACAGTGTCCTTTCCAAGCCCTACACCCAAAGGAGACCCCGTGCTCCCCTAAAAGTTTTCTGCAGTGCCCATTCCTAATACCCTGTCATGCAGACACGAGAAGCTAAGCCCAGAAGTCCTCCTGGTCCAGCAACCAGCTTCCCAATCAGATTCCTCCAAGAAGGAAGTCACCAGTGCTTCCCAGCAGCTGTATTCAGCAGCACCCGGCCTCTGCGGCTGAAGTGAGAGAGGCTCCAGCAGCAGCTGGAGTGGATGATGACCGAGGAGACCCAGGTTCTGGCACTCACTTAGCCATGAAACTTGCTGGGTGACCTTGGGCCAGTCACTCGGTCTCAACTGAACCCACCTCACAGGGCTCTTTTGAAGATAAGGAGGAGAGGAGGAGGAGGAATATCTAAACCACCTTACATACACACTATAAATGTAACTTATAATGTAAAGTCACAATAGGAATGTACTGATAAATACATAAATATAGCTATCATAGCTAATATTCATTGACAGAATTATCCTCCACAGATTTCTCTGAACACCACTTAGGATGGTGGGCAACCTCACATGTTGTAGCAGTGAGTTCGACCAGTTAATTGGTGCTATTAAGTGAAGTTACATTTCCTCAGGATTCTCCTGAATCTACTGTCAACATATCATGGCAGCGATACGCCTGGAATGAGGAAAGTTCCAGGCTCAATTCCCTGCATCTCTAGGGATGGAAGGACCCTCCTTCAAAGCTTGTTACCTGACTTATTGCCAGTTGCAGGAGTCAGTTAACAAGCAAACTCTGGTAATTTTCTCTCATCCTCCACCGGACAAGGCAATTTCATACATTAGTCTTCCCCAAGTTGCCACCCTCTAGAAGTAACAGATTTCAATTCCCATCAACCTCAGCCAGCACAGCCAAATGTCAGGCATGCTGGAGTTGTTGACTAGAACATCTGGAAGGCACCACGGTGGGAAAAACTACAAACTAATATACCTGCACATTCTTCTATCCCTTTTCTCAACTTCACCCTTCACTTTTTAGACCATGCTTCTTAGGACAGGCACTCGGCTGTTTTTAAATCTGTGAGGTACGGTGTACGTTTTGGGTGCATTTCTATAAAAAGGCTATGATGAAGTCTCTGAGAAGGTTATCTACTGGGGAAGGATGCTAAAGGGTCAGTGGCGGGTAGTTCTCCCATCCCCATGCGATTTACTTCTCCCTTATACCACGGGCCAGAAAGAAAGACACCCTCACCTGCTGCTCCCACATCCCTGCCTCTCGCCGTCCCATGTGATAGCCCTCCACCAAGGCTACAGCCTGAGCACATGTTTCCGGGCCTCGTTCCCACACCCAGCTCTGGACGTCCTGGGGCAAGATGGTCAGGAATTGCTCCAAGATCAGCAGCTCCAGGATTTGCTCCTTCGTGCGGCTCTCCGGCTTCAGCCAGCGACGGCACAGTTCCCGGAGCCTCCGGCATGCCTCCCGCGGGCCTTCCGAGTCCTGGTAACGGAACTGCCGGAAGCGCTGGCGCTGCATTTCAACACTGGCACCAGCCTCCCCCCGCAGGCTGGACGATTTGGCCTTCCGGTGGTCACTCCGGCCGCTCCGAGCATCCAGGCCATTGTGAGGGGGCTGGCCTTTCCCACTGAGGGCCGGCATAAGGCGGGTCATCCACTCCCCTCGGGGCCACTGGCAGGTCTCGGCCGCCCGCTCGAAGGATGACAAGTAGGCCTCAATGTCATCCACGGGGGCAAGTTCAGGGAGCTGGAGGTTGCCCCAGGCAGGGGGCGGGGGCGGGACGGGCACCGGAGCGGGCACCACTTCCGCAGGTGCCCGCAGCGACTGCACCATCTCCTGGCACTGCACCTCCCACAGCTGCGGCATCGGGTCGCTCCTCACCTGCGGAGGGGTTGCCCACCGCAGCAGGTCGCTGATCGTGCCAGCCTGAACGACGAGCGGGGCCTTCCCTGCAGCGTCCCATTCCCACCCTGCCTCCGGGCACGGCGGTCCAGGCTCCTCCATCTTCACCCTCGGCGGCATGGTTTCTTCCAAAGGGTACAAAAAATGGAGGCCTAATGCTGGCGGGGGCACTTCCTGTGTGGTGGCCATTGCGTTCCGCCCTCTAAGGCAGGCGATCCTCGGCTCTCCCACTGGCCAGCTGACAAGGGGCAGAATCGCCTGTGGAGACTTGGCTCGACTGGGAAGCGGCCCCTGATGCGGTACGCAGTCTCAGTGGGCCGGACGGGGCATGAAACAGCCCAGCAGGCCTGGGAGGGTGGCTCAGAAACGTCTCCTACAACCAACGGAGGGATGACTGAGGAAGAGGACTCCCCTCTGATGCAGAAAGGGAAAAAAGCATTGAGAAGTACACTCGTGAGAAGCATGTCCGTACCAAACCATTCCCGCTCGTTAACGGCTATTTGCACTCCTGCTGTGCCTGGACCCTGACTGTGCACCCACTCCTAGCTCAGGCCCAGGCAGTGATGGTGGTACAGAGGAGGAACAGCCGATGCCATTGCCTACCTGCCCGTGAGCTCTCCACCTGCCAAGCAAACAGGTGAAGGTAATGATGAGAAAGCAGATGAGGAGCAACATCCGGTGGTGATGGAGGCGATGAGAAAGTCGACTCACGGAGGGAGGGGGCCCCTGAGGCTGCTTAGCCCACGGGCCGGCAAAACCTGCAGCCAGCACTGAGGGGCTGTTTGGTGCCAAACTGCTCCCTGATGATCTGGGGTAACTTGGGACTGCTTCCCTAGGAATGCTTAAGAGATATTATGGGTATGCAGAGCATGATGTAAATATATCTGCAGAACAGCAGTGAACATAAAAAGGGATCCCACTGGATCTAAGATGAGGGTGGGCAACACACAGGCCCCAATCCAACCCCCTAGCTGCCAAATTCTCCTCAAACTATTAAAGGAAGCAAGCTGTGGTTTGCCACCAAATTTTCAGCTGCATCACAGAGGGAAAAAAAGGGGAAACTCAACCTTTTTTGCTGCTGCCAAAATCAGTGGCAAATTTGACAGTGATCCAGGAGGCAGCTCTCAGTGTGTTCTGGTGGGAGGGGAAATTGGCCCTGGAAGCTGTCCACACCTGCTGCAATACTACAAGCAGGGCATGGAGTAACGGCTTTCTGTAGTTGTTCTTCAGCACTCCGTGTTCATCTAAGCCAGCAGCCATCATTACTACTTCTTTTGCCACAAAATTGTGCAAGTACATCACACACTATGCAGAGAAGTGCTGCCTTTGGTGAACCTGTGCTGACTACATCACTGCCTGTTCACCATTTCTGACTGGGGCATCTTGAATGCACCCAGTCAGGTATCTTGCGCTGCCCGGCACTTATGTGTAGCTAGCAGAGATCCTTCACCAGGAATGCGGCACCCAGAATCTGAGAATCACATCCCAAAATCCCTTGCAAGGTTGCAAAGGACACTGAGGCAGTGGTGGGGAAGCACCTGGCTGGCCGGCTGGCCTTTCTGGACTATGCGCCTGCAGGAGGAAGGAACTTTTTACGGCTGACCAAAGAAACTGCATGGTTTGGCTTGTCTGCATGGAGAGAAATTAAGAGGTCTGCAGACCAAAGGTCCATCTCTTCCCCCACAAACTAATCAGATTCCTCTGGGATGCCTACCAGCCAGAACAGTCCTCCTCTGCAATTCTGCAGCTTATCACCTCGGAACATGGCGGTCCATGATAACTAGACAAGGATAAATGCCTATCCATTTTTTCTCTTCTTAAATTCTCTTTTAAATGTTGATGCACATGCTTATCTCTATTCACGGGCAGTGAAGTGACCAGCCTACATGCAGGCAGGCAGTTATGAGCAGACCGATGCACTTTGAAGTTGATTCAAGTATTCAAAGTTTTGCCTCAGAGTTCCAAATCTCTGTTTGTGTGCATGTGTGTGAGAGAGAACTTCCACATGGACATATTCCAGGGACCTTTGAGTAGGTCCTACAGGGAACAAACTTCTGTCGAAAATGCAACATGGCATGTGTGAAGCGGTCTGGCAATATTGCAAGGAGAATCTCTCATACTGATGAGCTACACAATGATGAGTTGTGTGCAAGCGGATCAGCTACGTCAGCACACACAAAAGCAGAATCCTTCTGCTTGATGTGAGGATGGCAAGAAATCCCCCCAACACTCCCCCAAAATGTTGTAAAAGAGCCGCTCTACCACCCAGCCCCCACTGCTCTTCCATAATTGACTTCTGTCCACCCTCTTTCCTCAACTTCTTCCCCAGTTTACTGCTGCTGTCCAACAGACCGAAGACTGACTTGTTTCTCCCCCAGAGAACCCAGGAGTCCTGACTCCCAGGCTTTTCCCGCTTTTGTTCCAGGAAAGCCTCTCTCCCTCCTCTGAGAAGCAAGGAGTCAATCACAGTGTATTAGACCCCAGCTTATCCCGCTTCCTTCCAAGAATGCACAAGTCCTGGCTCCCGCAAGGCAAAGCGAGATCTCGTCCTTTCTGGAGAAGCGCTAATCCTAAACTGCAGCTCTATCCCCCCATGTGGGAGTCCAGCAGTCCTGACCTGAACCGATCCCCCCCACCCGCCGCCCCGGCAGCAAGTCCTGCCTCCAGCCTCCAAGCTCAGCTTCCTTCGAGAACCCAGGAGTTGTGCCTGCAAGCCAAGTCCTCCCCCAGGCCCGCTTCCCTACCAGAACTGCCCCGACCTATCGATCCCTTTCTTAAAGGAACCAGGTGGCCGAGCTAACGCAAGACCTCAGCGCTGCCTTCCGACCTCGCTCCTCTCCCCGGGAGAACCCAGGAGTCCTGGCGCTGCCCGCCCAGCCCGCGCGGAGCCCCGCAGGACGTCCGGGCTGCAGCCGCCTCCGCGCCCCCGCCGCCTCCCAAATTGCCCGGAGTCCCGGCTGCAACTCGCGCGCTCCCCGCTCCCCCTTTGTTCGCTCTCCGCTGCGGCATCGGGGCGCCCGCCCGCCGCCCGCCCGCCCGCCCGCCAGTCGCGGCGCGCCCCGGGCCCGGCTGCGCTACCTGGGCCGGGCGGCGGCATCCAGCGCGGCTCCTCTTTCAGGGCTCCCGCGGTGGCGGCGGCGGCGGCGGCAGCGGCTGCGGCGGCTCCGCCTTGAGTCCCGCGGCGCCCATCGCGCCCTCGGCCGGCTCCCGGCCCTGTGCTGCCCGCCGCCGCGCCGCCGCCGCGCCAGCCCTCGTCGCCTCGCCTCGCCTCGCCTTGCCCTGCCCTGGAGGTGGCCACCAGGTTGGTTCCCGGGCTGCGCCGGAGAGGCTGGGGTTAGTCCCCCCTCCGCAGGGCAGGCACTGGCTGCGATCTCTGTCACTCACCGCCGAAAGGAAGGGGAAGCCGGGTTGGGACAGCCCCTCGCCCAAAGGAGGAGGGGGGTTGAATGGAAGGGGAGGCCGGGCAGGGCTTGCAGTGCCACGATAGCTCCATGGTGGAGCCGCCGCGCCGCTACGCACCGGGCCCGGCGCGGCCAATTCCCCCGGGAAGCGCCGGCCGGGGCCGCGTCGCGCGCTTCCGCGCCGCAGGGCGCGCGGCGGCGGCTCTCCCACTTCGCGGCCACTTCATTGCTTTCTTTCCCCCTTTTTAAAGAAAGGCGTCCGACTAGGTCCTTTGTGGCATTTTGGACTGCGTTGCCTCTGAGGATGTGCAGAATGCTTTTCCTTGGGAGGAAGATAGGCGGCTTTTCCCGCAAGAGCCTGAAAGTGGAAAAGTGAGGCTCGAGGGCGTATCGGGTGTAAAAAAAACGGGGGGGGGGGAGGAAAGAAAGAAACCTGTTCCCATTCCACCGCTAAAACTGCTCTGTTGGATAATAACGTTAGTCCTACGTAGAGGACACCCATGGAAATGAATGGAACTTGAGTCAGTCGGCTAAGTTAAATTTCATTCCTATCAATAGGTTCACGTTACGTAATGCTAACACTGGATTACAGCAAGTGGAGCCCTTTGGCTAGGAGACCTTGCGAGGCCCATACTTAATAGTGTCTGATCATGAGAAACAAAGCCTCATTCTCTTCTTTATTCAATGAAAGTAGAACATTGCTGAATCTTAGGACTGATACAAATATTGTTTATAAATTTATAGCATTTAATAAGTTTACAAAAGTATGGAATCAATTAAGACTTTCATACAGAACAGTCATAGGGGAATCATAGCAATTTTATAACATTACATTATATACAAAGTCAGAACAGTTTCTAGCTTTTTTGGCTGCAAACTTACCAGTTATATCACTGAAATCCATAACTCAGTTTATCATGTTTTATGCAGAGAATGCTTAGATCAGACAACAGGTCTTGGGACACTGTTGACCATAGATCATTCTTTACCGTATTTAGTCTAGAAAATTCTTTTGCTAAGGTACCCCCCTGATTTTTATCATTACAAATGACATAAAATTAATGATATTTTTTTAAAAAATTAGCAGGAGGCTGACACCCCTCTCCCTGGGGCTGAAAATCCGGCACTGACTGGATACCACCTATTGACAAGTCATAGGAAACACTGGACTGTTTAGGTATTAGTTTCAGTGGGTCTACTCTAAGTAGGACTAACATTTGATACAACATGTACAACAGATCTGGTCTGGATAGATCAATATTATAGACTCCTCATATAAGGCAAGGTCTGATTTTCTTTTAAGGAATGGCCAGAAGGACACAATGACTTGGGCAGGCTGGCTGTGCACATGCTTACCTGCCTGATTCCCAAAGTGTATAGCAGAAAATGGTATCAAAACTGCCTCTTCTTATTCATGCATGTCCTACTTTGCAATATGTATAGAAGCAGGTTACGCTATGTCCAAAATCCCAAAAATTCCTTTCAGAAATCTGGGAAAATGTCAAGTCAATCTCAACTATTGAAATCCTCAAAGAGTGCCATTTTACAGAAGGTAGATGCCCTGTGATGACAGTAAATCCAAGGCCCTCGCTAGATTGTGTGTGCGTGCGTGCGTGCGTGCATGTGCGTGCGTGTTTTAATCTGGCTTCTCCAGGAAGTCATTGCAGTTGCCTGGTGGACCTCACTGGGCCACCGCACGGTGCAGAAAAAGGCCTCTCCCTACTACAGATACATCAGACTCTGAACGAGGCAGAAGAACAGTCGCCCTCCACTGCATCTTAGCAGGCATGTGGGTATTATGATAACAGCAACACTGCTGGTGAAAACATGGAAGACCCTGTTTGTTTTGGGTTTGCATCTCTTCCCTTTGGCAAAGCAGAAGGTGGATGAGAGTCCGGTTACCTGGCAGTCTTTTTGGCCCTTTGCAGGGGGATGCTGGATTTTATGGGGATTCCATCGGAAGTTCAGAAGAGGGGAGAGTGCAGCTTTTTCTAATCTGGTGCCCTCCATTTATTGGAGTTCCAGCCCCATAATTTCATTGAGCATGCTGGGAATCTGTTCAGCCTCATAGTCCAATTAAGTAACACTTAACTAAGAATAAATAAGGAATCAGAACAGTGAAGGAAAAACAGCACTGCAAAATGAGAAAACAAAACCTAGGTATTTTACTGTCACTTGTTTTTAGGTGCTTTTGATTGTTTTAAGGTGGGGGGTTGTTTGGTTTAACTCTCGCTATAAATAAATACTTTTTTAGCTGCAAAATTGTTTCAAAGTTTTAAAACTATTTTTCCATTCCATATTACGGAACGGTTTATGGTTATTATTGTATCTTGGGCCTGCTTAGGAACTGTTGTAAACTGCCCAGAGAACTTGGCTATTGGGTGGTACAGAAGATATATAAATAAATGCTGAAACGCCAATCTGCCTTCAGTCTAGGAGAGTGTTATGCCTTTACAAGGGTCCCCATGGCAATTGACAAGCATCCTGAACTGGCAGCTTGGGAGTGCTCCTCGACCCAGAGCTTTCACTGGAAGCTCAGGTAACAGCAGTGGCGAGGAGTGCTTTCCTCCAGCTTCGGCTAATTCATCAGCTGCGCCCCTATCTGGAGAATGACTGCCTTGCGACAGTGACACATGCGTTGGTGACTTCCCGTTTGGACTTCTGCAACGCGCTCTACGTGGGGCTACCCTTGAAGACGGTCCGGATACTTCAATTGGTCCAAAATAGAGCTGCCAGGCTGCTGACGGGGACTGGACGTTATGTTCACATGACTCCAGTTCTCCGTCAGCTTCACTGGCTTCCCATTGAAGTCCGGGCCCAATTCAAGGTGTTGGTTATGACCTATAAAGCCCTAAACGGCTTGGGTCCTGGTTACCTGAAGGAGCGCTTACATCCTTATATGCCCAGCCGCCCCCTGAGATCGGCGGGAGAGGCCCTTCTCCGGGAGCCCTCCATGGAAGAAGTTAGGAGGGTGGTTACTCGGAGGAGGGCTTTCTCAGCGGTGGCGCCTAAGTTATGGAATGCGCTCCCCAGAGAGGTCCGCCTGGCGCCGTCGTTATTTGTTTTTCGGCGCCAGGCAAAGACCTTTTTATTTAAGCAGTATTTTAAATGTTAATATTATTGAATTTTATTTGGCCAGGGCGGCTTGTTTTATAGTGTATATTTGTATTTTATTGTATATATTTTAAAATGTTATTTTAAATTTTTTTTGTTGTAAGCCGCCCCGAGGCTTCGGCGAATGGGGCGGCATAAAAATGTTTTAATAAATAAATAAAAATAAATAAACTGGTCAAAGGTGGGAAAGAGAAACGTCTGAAAAATGGGTATTATGTTTTATTGAG